GCGGCGGAACACCTTCAATTAAGGGGGGGGGGGGCACTGCCGACTTTTGGTCCCATTCTTTCCATGCAACGCCCATAGGGCTAACGTTAAAATGCCAAAATCAAAAGGAGGGTGCACGGTGCCCCGGTGCCCTCCCCGTTCCGCCGCCCATGAACACGAAAGCAAAATCTAAGGCATTTTGGGAAAAAATGAGTATGCCCCGCAGCGTCCGATAACTACCACCTTCCAGTGGGTCAAGCCAACGGGGCCCAAGTCTATAATGGCACTTAACGATAGCACTAACCTTGTCTCACTTTTCCTTGAAGTCTGTTCCGAATGGTTTCGGCCACAGACTTGCTGCACTGAGGTCGTTTGATATGTGCAACTGTAATTAAAGCCACCTGAGGCGCCCTGACACCAGGCTGAAGCTGGGTTGGAAATGCTTCGTCTTTGCAGATATCACTGGCCGCTGATTCTCGAGTGCCTGAACCGGTAGATGTCATGGCAAAATTTGGTGTGATAATTTGGACCTTACCGCAGTCAGCGCACCCTAAAGCCCTAATAAAGAAACGCCCCACCCAGAGCTTCTGGATTCTCGTTCCAGTCCACCGTTCCTTCACCCCAGCCCGCCGCCGCGCTCCCTCACCTCAGCCCTCCGTTCCCAGCTTGACGAGCATTTGGGCCTTAGTTAAGCCTTGCTGTAGGCTTACTGTATAAACCCATCGAGACAGCCCGTCTCGGTGAGCTTAGTTGGCGAACTACTGCCTTGGGGAGGGTTTCTGGCGGATCGCTGTCCCAATAGGTTTAGATGCGACCGACTGTCTCTGAATGTTTGAGCGGTCTCCTCCCGCTGTGAGCTAGTTTCAGTTGATATCTGTCTCAGAAATACTTTTTAAAGAAAGTTAAACGAAAATCCAACGTAAAATGAACAGAGGAAATGGTAACGAGTTACCTCATTGAAGAGCAGCGTTCGCCTACTTCAAAAGGTTTGGCACCGTTCTTCAACATCTGATATGCGATCGGGTTATGGCACAATTTTTTCCCATTGGAGCTTTTTTCTAATACAGCAATACGAAATGCGTTACATCGTCCACTGGCGGATCCAGGGAGCGGGCATTTAAAGCAAATATTTACTCCCCTCCCCCTGCCCCTGCATCGCCCGAAATAGACAAAACGTATGTACCTTATGTTTCCTAATAATTACATTTTTATCAGGATTTTTTTTTTTTATACTGTTCAGCAGTAATCGAAATCGAAATCCGAGGAGTTTTTGGATTTTGGACACTTTGGGGGGGTATGTCCCCTACAGCGTCGAAAACGCCTTTCTGGATCCGCCTATGACATCATCTCGACTGGGATCTTGCCCCCCCTCGCCAAAATCGAATCCGCCGCCACTGCCGTAAAATAGCTGAATCGCTGCTGATAAGAAAGAACCGTCCGGAACTCAACAGTAATGTATCGTCTTGGCCTATTTTGTAAGGTAAACAATGCTAGGAACAACGCCGATGTATGTGTAAATGTGTACTGTATATGTTTACTGTGCACTAGGTACTGCGTATGTTCACGCGTTCAAAGCTAGATAGTGTTTGTGTGTGTGTGTGTGGGAGGGGGGGGGAGGGTGGACTATGTGTGTTATTGATTATGGGCATCGAACGCTATATGTTATGGCATTGAACGCTATAGGTATGTTAATGCGAGTATGCCAATTATGCCCATCTTTGCTTTCTTTGTATTCCATTCTGGTGTTACGGTGTTATGTGAATACTGGACGGATAGACACGTAAATGTGTAAAAGCCTGGACAGCATATGATAGTTGCTGGCATGCTGCATCTGTTATGCCTTGTAGACGGCTGGGTGACTTTGGACGAAATTGTGAGAAATAATGGCGAAGGCCTGTAGGATGTTTTGTGTTATGGTCAGTCGGTATGTTAACCCTAGAACGCCTAGGGGGGGGGGGTTGTATCAACCCCCCCTGAGGTTTTTTCGAAGTGCACGCTAAACGGCTTGTCGTAGCGGGCTGAAATTTTAAATACCCTCTGGGGCAACCTTTGCGCATCTTTTGCCGAAAAAAAATTGATCGGGTCATGTCAGGTCACGGAGTTATGACGTCATAAGAGGTACAGCCTCCGGCCGACAGTTACCAAACGTGTGCGCCGAATCCCTAGGTTTTCTGCCGGTGATACCCACATTGTTTGATGGATCATGATGAAACTTCCCATGCATGTTGGGGCAAGCATTGGCTATTGTGTGGTGCAAGAAAATTGACCGGGTCAGGTCAGGTCACGGAGTTATGACGTCACAAGAGGAACAGCGTCCGGTACTATTTTTGAAAAGCGCCCGAACCACTATTTTGCTAATTCTTGTCACCTCAATGGGAATATGCAGCAATATTAGCTTCTATAGGGAGCAAATGGACCTCCCAAATCCAAAAATACATTCAGATTTCAAAAATTTAAATTTTGATTTTTCGAATTTCTGCCGCCGACTGTGACCTTGCCGACTTCCGGCGCTCCCAACGCGCCATTTTTAGAGCTAGGGAAACGAAATACATACCAAACGATAGAGAATTGATCAAGGAACACGATAGTGAAGGTTTCAAGTCGATATCTCCCACCGTTTTGCCGCAATCGCCACGGAAAGTTGAAAAAGTTTGATTTTTTCGGAAAATTTGACCTTTGACCGGTCATAAGTAGGTCAAATGTTGACCTAGGACCAAAAAATATACCACCAATCGCGAGATCTCGTTGAGAGCAATCCGTTGTTTTTTCCGCTAAGCTCTACAACCTTCCGTTTCGAAACGCCAGGGGGGGTCGTAACAACCCCCGTCGTTCGTGTTATGAGAAATGGCCTGGTCGTGCGAGGGTTAATACTTACTTATCTCGTACGGCTGAAATTATGTATTTTGAAAAATAGGTGCCCTATGTGATGCTATTTTTGCTAGCCAAATATTTCATGAGTATTATAGGATTAAATTGGACTTACTCCACAAGAGAATCGTTTTCGGTCGGAGCTTTCGACATGTATTACATGTCCTCTTCAGCGAAGGTCGGTAATCGGGGCGAAAATAAAACGTTCGGGTCGAATCGAATCGCACAAGATGTCGGTGAACGATTGTCGAAAACGATTCTCTTGTGGAGTAAGTCCAATTTAATCCTATAATATCTATTTGCTCTCCACACTAACATGTCTCTAAGTCTATTTCATGAGTGGTGCGAGTGAGCTAGTGGGCACGTTTCAACTATAAATTTTTGTTGAAAGGCAGTTGGAAATGCGGCAAATGGAAATGGTATCTTTTCTAATTTGAAACTGTTTGAAAAAGACCTGTGGTCGAAATATTACATTCTTTCAAATAAAGTACATATTTGTACAGCATTAGTTTTGGCAATTATCGAGGAAATAAGGTCATGTTTTTACATTTTCTACTATTTAGCCGAAACTGAGTGAAGCCGGCGTTTCGTAGTTTCGTAAAATGAATATTCAATCAACAGACATCATTCAAACAACAGGTGTGCCTGTGGGCGACTATTGAAATCTTTATGAGGCAGGACATGATTTCGTGTGGGTGTGTTGAGCAGGAGCTTCTCTCCGTTTAGTCGCCACTAATAGCTTTCTCACAACACAAAAACTTCATTCGGTGGCCGTGATGAAAACCATTAGCGGGTCTGACAGCTCCTACCCGGAAAATATCTATTAGCGCCGTACGTTAACGCCCGTTGAATAACGGCAGAGCCTTCGATTCATTAACTTAACAACACTATGCCACCCATGATGGTGGCAAAACAAAACACCATATTCAAGCGTTTTAGTTGATTAGGTTACATAAAATTGCACTTGACCACACAATTTTGTTAATAATGCTATTAGTTAACCCTCGCCCATGTAGGGGGGGGGTTGGTGCAACCCCCCCCCCCCTGAGGTTTTTCGGAAACAGTGCAAAAACGGCGGCGCGCAGCGCCGCCAAATTTTGGGTACCTTATGGGGCAAACCTTGCGCATCTTTTGATAAAAAAAATTTGACCGGGTCATGTCAGGTCACGGAGTTATGACGTCACAAAGGGAACAGCCTCCGGCCGGATTTTCACAAACTGAGTGCCAACGCCCGAGGTTTCCTGACGGTGGTACGGACATCGGTTGATGGATCGTGATGAAACTTCCCATGCATGTTGGGGCAAGTATTGGCTATCATATGGTATAAGAAACTTGACCGGGTCAGGTCAGGTCACGGAGCTATGACGTCACAAGAGGAACAGCGTCCGGTACTATTTTTGAAAAGCGCCCGAACCACTATTTTGCTAATTCTTGTCACCTCAATGGGAATATGCAGCAATATTAGCTTCTATAGGGAGCAAATGGACATCCCAAATCCAAAAATACAATCAGATTTCAAAAATTTAAATTTTGATTTTTCGAATTTCTGCCGCCGACTGTGACCTTGCCGACTTCCGGCGCTCCCAACGCGCCATTTTTAGAGCTAGGGAAACGAAATACATACCAAACGATAGAGAATTGATCAAGGAACACGATAGTGAAGGTTTCAAGTCGATATCTCCCACCGTTTTGCCGCAAACGCCGCGGAAAATTTGAAAAAGTCTATTTTTCCGAAAATTTGACCTTTGACCGGTCAAAAATAGGTCAAATGTTGACCTAGGACCAAAAAATTTACCACCAATCGCGAGATCTCGGCGAGAGCAATCCGTTGGTCTTTTCCGCTAAGCTCTACGACGCTCCGTTTTCAAACGCCAAGGGGGGGGTCGCACCAACCCCCCCCCCTGCATGGGCGAAGGTGGCAGATCGCCGTTTACGGGCGAGGGTTAATAGCGAAAAATACGAAGTGATAGAGTTTAACTTATAAACATCAAGAGATAATTTTTAGACTGTAGGTATGTAGCTGCATTTTGATGTAACCTTTGCCAAATATCATAACTTCCTTTGTCTTTCACGCACGTTTACCCCAGCACCCGTCACCCGGTCGCTATCCCGAATCGGTTTCAATGACCTGACGTAGTGCTACCCTTTTCCAGGAAAACTTACCAATGTACCGCCTGAGGTGGGCGCAGAAACAGGGGCGTCGCCACCCTTTTCTGGTGGTGATTGTGAGCTGTATAGTGGCCGCCATCTTTCTTGTCGAGGACGTCAAATGGCAAATGCGCTCGGCGACAGTGAGCGTTTGGAACCGATACCATGAAAAGGTGAGTTCAGACCGCCTCGCGGCCAGACAACGGAATTTCTTACTATTCTGGGGCTTAGCTGGACAATCTGGATGCGCATCCTGACCCGTGCTCTGTTATTTTACGGCATAAACATATCTTTACCGTTTTCAGTTTTGAATCTTTTCTTCCAGACATTTTTTGTTTTGCGTTTCGAAAAAAGTTTTGTTTATAATGTTATCTTTAAACACAATTCACATGACCCACGAACAGGGTCATGGCAAATGCCTGCAAATGCTTCAAAATCTGTGGAGACCAATATAGCTACAAATATAGGTAGGGCTCATCAGGTCAGAAAAACCGGTACAAGGTCATGGTCAAATTTCAATTTTCTTTTTGCACCTGTCCAACTCACAGTTTTGGACTGATTTCCTTCAAACTTTCAGGATGTGCTAAGTTCACCGAGTTGTATAACATATAGTTCGGGTTTTTCGAGGTCACTGACCTGAGGTCAGTTAGAGGTCATTACGTCGTAATGTTAAGCCTATGGGAAAATACTAAATTCGGAAAATACTGGAGATATCCGCTTCGTTCTATCACTTTTGTGCTTTGAAACCACAGTACTTAACAGCAGGTCACTTGGTGCTTCTTTGTTTGGTGTACTTATCTATGGGTCAGGTCAAATGAGGTCAACTGAGGTCAAATTACGTTTTTGCCAATAACTTGGCACATAATGACGCTAGAGCTTAAAAATGGTATCATTGTGTTCCTGCTGATCAGCCGAATCGAATGATATGCGATATGATGCAATTTGGTTAACTTGAACTTAATTTATTAATTTAAGTTTACTTATAGTTTAAGAAAAACTTTAAGTACATTTAAGCAAGCTAAAAAGTATATCATTCGACGCGCCTTGACGTTCTGAGCTCACTGGTGCTTTTCTTTTTGCTCGATCTGAATTAGATCAAAAGTTATAAGCGAAAAACTTTTGACCTGTTTTTAGCGAAATGTTTACATTTATACCCCCCCAAAACCCCCTAAATATTGACCTAGAGCAACCAAATTTGCACAGGGGCGAGAACTCCAGGGGGCCCACCTACCTACTAAATTTTGTGTTTCTAGGTGCCATAGGAGCCAATCGCGAGGGGGGGGGGGTCGCATCGACCCCCCCCCCCCCCCCTGCCAGGCCGTGTTATGAAAAATGCCCTGCCAGGGCGAGGGTTAAAATGTCCTGCCCCGTTTCATTGACCTGTCCCATTTCAGTGACCTACTGAGTTCAATAACCTGTCCTGTTTCAGTTCAAGCCGGCGCCGGATGTGAACATCACAGAGAGTGACCGAGTGATCCTGTTCTGGACCCCCTTCTTCGGCAACCTTGAGTTCAACATCGGCTACGGCAGGAGGCCTTTTAGCCCGTGTCCGGTGAGTACCTACTGAGTGCAGAGATGTCAATCGGATACCAACTTTTTGGCACGCACACCGATACGAAACTGATAGCAACTTGGCATTTAGTATTTCAATTCTGATGACTTTGCTATTTTGTTGGTAATGTGAATGTTCACTAATGATAAGATAATCAAAAATTTGTAAAAAATTGTATTTCTATTATTTTCCGAAGTTCGTGTGTTTTGGGTACTCTTCCATGTTTGTAGTTGGTATTTGGTTTGATATCGGTTTCTAAATTATCTGCGACTGACATCGGCAATGTAGTACCTCGCCTGTACGGCGTCAGGTGATGCTCGGTCACACAAACAACTGAGGTTGAAACTGTATGAATGTGGGAAAGGCAGTAGCTAGTTATCTATCAGTTTAAAATTCATGAGTCATTATGGTCTCACGTGATGCAATAGGCTTTATTCTTTCCCCTCTCTATCGTGTTTTCTCTTCTCTCTCTCTCCCTCTCTCACTCTCTCTCTCTCTTTCTCTCTCTTGCTCTCTCTCTCTCTCTCTCTCTCTCTCTCTCTCTCTCTCTCTCTCTCTCTCTCTCTCTCTCTCTATATCTCTCTCTCTCTCTCTCTCTCTCTCTCTCTCTCTCTCTCTCTCTCTCTCTCTCTCTCTCTCTCTCTCTCTCTCTCTCTCTCTCTCTCTCTCTCTCTCTCTCTCTCTCTCTCTCTCTCTATCTATCTATCTCAAACTTACTCACTCACTCACTCACTCACTCACTCACTCACTCACTCACTCACTCACTCACTCACTCACCCATCCTCTGCTTTTGTCGATCCGAATCATAAGCCAAATCATACGCACCACATGTGAGGTACGCGTGGCGTCGATTGCACCCCCTCTGTACCCCCCCCCCCCCCAGCTTGCTCACCCCTCGGGCGGTCACCTGAGCTTGTGTAAACCATTTGATCGGTCGGTTATCGGCTCGGCGCAGCGGCGGATCCAGCGCACCCCACGGATGGAGTTTCTGGTGCTCGCTTTTATCCGCAATGGTGGATCCAGGGGAAGGGGACTTGGTAAATTCCCCCGCAGTGCCCGAAATCGACAGAAGTTTACGGTTTTTCGACAATAAAAAGAATACTTAACAAGTTTTGTTAGTAAAAGTGTGTTTTAAACTGCAAAGCAATGCGTATGGAATCGAAATACGATGAGTTTTTAGAACTTGGAGAAACTTTTTTGGGGGTCGTCCCAGACCACCTTTCTGGATCCGTCAGTGTTCATCCGCCTTTGCACACGAGTATTCGGTGTTTGCTTTTTATCGCCAGTGCACGCATACAGCTGAAATGTCCACTGCAATCGACTGGTGCGTTCTCCACTAAATTTCCCCAGCGTCGATTATCTGACAATAATCACAAACCTATTTTCAAAATTTCCTTAGGTTAAGCAGCACCTTTTAGGATTTAGACTGGCCAATGACCGTGCTTAATTATGATAGAACTGGTACCTAATAGTCAAGTCCAGAAAAAATAATATTTTTCTTTACTAAGCAGCATTAAATGTTCTATTGATACGTAAACAATCAAAGTATTTAAACAGAATTGTTCGCAAACTAATTTTTCAACCAATCGAAGGGAAATCCTCGGCGATGAACGCTTTATTAGAGATTTGACCAAGCATAATAGTATGAGGGCTGTTTTGGACGCCCCCCCCCCCACCACACCACACACACACACACCGACACCAATCTCGAAAGGAGAACTATGTATCCCCCGTATATGGCGGACGATTTGCCGCTCGCACACCTTGTAACCGCCTGGACCAGAAAACCCATCGACCGGCGGTTAGTGCTGCGGATCTGGTGAACAGCGGGTCTCAACTCCATGCTTGACTGCAATGTGCATAGGTCGTCTCATAGCAACGACGTGCCTGCAACGCATGACGTCAGCTTATATCAGAAGTATTTTTATCAATAGCGGGTTTTAAATACCTAATAGATGGAGCAGTAAGCTGATGCAACGGGACATTAGCCGTCAGCATTTGCTTCCCCAGCCTCGTCCTATCCAGGTAATTGCTTCATATCTCTTCATTCATTCCCGAATGAAGAGATATGAAGAGTATGAAGAGATAATCCTCATGTGCATTCATTCCTGCATGCACATTTGCTCCTTCAGAACTAAATTCACTTTACCACTCCCACCTCCCAACAAGTCTCCAAAAAGTCATGGCACTATCTACAAAAATCTTGAGCACACCCATCTGTCCCAAGATGACGTCAGACGCCTACCGCTTAGGTCTCCAATGACGTCATCCCTCGCACCTTCCCACAGGCCTCCAACTGCATCACCACCAACCAGCGTCGCTACCTACAGCGTGCCGACGTGGTGGTCTTTCACCCGGTCGAGTTTAGTGACTTCGACCTGCCGGCGTTCCGGCGTCCAGACCAGCTCTGGGTGTTCTACATGCTGGAGAGCCCGCCGAACACGGGCGGACAGTTCAAGGAGGCGACCAAGGGCCTCTTTAACCTCACCATGACGTACAGGTGCGGTCAGAAGGTCCCCTTATATGTGCTCTAGGGTCAGACCAGGGTTCGATTCTAGGTCCACTTCAGATTTAGGTGACGATTCACGTTTGGATTGGGTCAGACTGAAATTACATCCTGTAATGCTACACAAAGTCATTGACTCCAGACTGTGTGAAGCAGGTGTCAGCGTTACTCATCATCGGCATCACTCGAATTTGGAAAACGTGACTAAATCGTAATTTTGACCAACTTTTTATCAGACCTGATAATGTTTGGTCTGGTATGGCTTGTGTCACCAGAGCCTGGACTGACCTGCGCTTACAGTGGATGTTTTTTTTTTCTGCTCAGACGGGACTCTGATATACACCAGCCATACTTCAAGACGGTGCCTCTATCCGAAGCCGAGCGCCAGAGGTCATCCGGGGTCACCATGGCACCCACACTCTCAGCCACGTGGGCATCACTGACCCAGGTCAGACAGAGACTACCCTGGGTGGTTTCACACTGCAAGACTCCCGGCAAACGCGAACAGTTTGTTGAGGTGAGTAGTTACGCAGAAGGCTCAAAATGACATTTGAAAAGGTTCAAAATGACATTTCAACCTTTTGGCATTTGTCGTTCTAGTCTTCTCTGTGGTTCGTATGCTTGGTGACGTCTTAGAAGATTGAATTCATATTATTGATGTGTTAAGCATACGCTTATTTTACAGGCTTATTTTATGAGGTGCGGCTAAGCCGAAAATCATTAGCTGCGTGCCCGCTAAATGTGCCCAGCTAATAAAGTCGGCTTATTTTCTACAACCGGACATCAACAACTGAATAACGAATGCATTCCGCCTTCGTTAGCCCACATTGCCGTTGTATGCGTGAAGCGAGTGACCGATGCTTTTTTCATACGCCTTCTTTCTTCGTTGACACGTGTGGTCGTGTGCCTCAGGAACTGCGACGATACATCGCCGTGGACATCTACGGACGTTGTGGTCCTCTGCGCTGCTCGGCCCCGGGCGGGGTGCTGTCTCCACCCGACCCCCGAACCTGCTACCGCTACGTGGCCGACAACTACCGCTTCTACCTCTCCTTAGAGAACTCGCGATGTCGAGACTACATCACTGAGAAGTTCTTTCTGGCGCTCAACAGCAGTCTAATCCCGATCGTCTACGGAGCTTCTCGGGCTGACTATGAGGCCGTGGCACCTCCACACTCCTTCCTTCATGTCGATGACTACGCTAACCCTCGTGAGCTGGCGGGTCACGTGAAGTACCTGCTGACCCATGAGGCAGCTCTGGCTGAGTACACGGCCTGGAGGTCAGAGTATAAGATCGAAGGCGCTCACCGCGACGGATGGTGCAAACTCTGCGAGATGTTGAACAAGCGAGAAGTACAGAGGAAAGAGTATGCGGATATTAAAGAGTGGTGGAGTGGACCGGATGTCTGTCACTAGCCGTTAGCTAGAGCTAGCCGCGTAGCTAGTTTGCAAGTCAGTCGCCAGCTATCATTGATGCTATCAATGGCGCTATCAATGATTATCAATGACGCTAGCCAGCATTGTTGAACAGTGTCACAACCAGAATCGCTAGCCGATTGCTAGAGCTAGCTCAGCTAGCCAGTGTCGGACAGCGCACCAAAGCTGTGAAGCAGATATATGGGTAAAAAATCGAGCTCGAGGTCTGGTGACCATATGGCAATGGGTCAATGATCACAGACCCACTGGCTGAAAGAAACGGTCGCTAATTAGGAGCAAAGACAGCACGCTAAGACCTCGGATTGAGATGGATTGGTTCGCGTTTATTAGGATGTTGTTTGGTGTCGTTGTTTTTTTACTCAGGTGACAAGAGTGCCTCTCGATAAATTTCGCCAACCATGGAGTGTGGATGAAAAATGAAAGGTTATTACAAAAAAGACATTTTTTGCTTGGTTTTCTCGGATAAATTGTTAGCATTCGTCGCGTGAGCGTAATATTTCACAAAGTGAAAAGTCCTATGGTTGCGATATTGCTTCAAGACTGACTGTTTTTAGCAATTCTCTATTAACCTATGGTTTTAAGGGTTTAAGGCCCTCAAAATAGTTACATACATACTTCCAAAATAGCTTAATTGCCACCAACACTTACCTATTTATCCCTGCCATCAAGCAACATCTTGTTGCTGCCTTTTCCCATGTAAGGTATAACAATTTATAGTTTTTGATACTCGCAGTTGTGGCCCATGGATGGTCTTGTGTCATCAAATAAATGTCAAGGTGCCGGACTGGTGCCCAATATTTTGGTCGCATATACCTTGCCCCACGGCCGCATGCTGCGCCGTTGTCATTGTTTTTGTCATCGTATAGGGTAGTGTCTGTGTGTATATAACTTGTGTTATGTTGTGTTGATGATTCGTGCCTCGATTCGGTGCATAAGTTTTAGGGGAACGTTTGTGAAGGCACCATTTTGCCAAGCGATTTGTACGATTCAAATGCTGTATGCTCCGCATTAACTAGTCGCATGACCATTATTGAGGGTTAATGTTCCTCAGGCAGTTTCAGGATTCGGAATTTCTCGGTGATTTGTGTAACATTAGTCAGCTGTGTAGTTACTGCGCATTGTTCACCCTTTCGTGAAACTCTAAAGTGCTCTTAATATTTTAATTATTTATTGTACCGATAACATTGCCGCACAACAGGATGGAATGAAAGCCTAGAAACAATGGAATGCCATACATATAGAACACCCAGAATGATAGACGTTGTGGCAGAAATGGTAAATTCTTCCCCCGAAATGTGTGGCTCATCTGTCATTGTTTTGCTTTTAATTGTTTTGTGCAGAACCATTGGCGGGCGTGGAAGTGAATATACGCTGCATTCTGACCAAATAAGACGGTTGTGACTTGAATGGGGTTATTGAGAGCGAGTGCATCCTCCGTAACTGATAGATAGATAGATTCTTTATTCACCACAAATCCATAAAACATGGGGTTTCATTGTCTCACGTCACTTCACTTCACTTCACGCGACCTACGAGTTGCTATTCTGCCCTCGCAGTAGGCATTTCAGCTGAGTTGACGCCTAAAGCTGCGTACGCTGACATCGAGCGGGAGACGGTCGTAGTCCCGCACTCCTTAACGAGTGGTATCGAGTGTTATCATTATTATGCTGCTTTCTTGTGTTATAATCCATTAAAGGGACTATCCCACCTTTAACATGGGGTTTGAGTTGAGATAGCCAAGTGTGCGGCAAGGTTCAGAAACCACTATCTATCTAGGTTGCAACCCCCGCGGCCTCTTGGTGTTGAAGAAATTCGTTCCCTTCATTTGAAAATGGGCCTTGTACAAGGCCCTATCTTCAACATGGAGCGACCGTTATGTGTGACGTCACCTCGTTTAGTCATTCTGATTTAAATGGGTTTGTTCGTTGAAAAATCGCTTTAAACTTGGTCTGAACTTTGTTGTGGTGCCTACAGAGTAAAAAGAATCAGCTTTATGACAGTAATGTGGCCTGGGGAAGGAGGTAATTTTGGGCTGTGACGTCACATATATTTGAAAGTTTGTGTTTGGAATATGGGAAGCCTAAGATGTTTAATGAAAAATAAATGCCAGAACCGTGTTCCTGGTCATCCAATCTATAAAGTCGGGCACAATTTAACTGGTTTTAACAACATTTTAGAAGGTGGGATAGTCCCTTTAAAAGTAATTAAATTGTGTCACATTTCATATTACCAAATAATTCGACCTTGAGTTTAACCCGCGCCCCGTAGGACTATCGGCGGACCCTGCCACCCGTAAGAGGAGGGGGGGGGGTCGTTTAGCCCCCTAAGATCTCGAAAGATTACCGGCCGATTTTCAAAATTACTACGTTGTGACCTAATTTCATTGACCTCGGTCCAACCGATGACGTCACAGGACAGGCTCAAAGGTCGCACTTTCACCGTTTACAGGCATTCCAAGAAATGTGTTGGAAAATCGAGTAAAAGGCGTGTCACTGAAAATCATCGATGGAGAATTATTCGTCAAACACATATTTTGCTATTTGAGGTCACTGATATCAGGTCAGGTCACAGAGATCAGGTCACTGGGGGTCACAATCAAGTGTGGTGTGATACATGTTTTATGGCTCATTTTATACGATAACGACAACCTACGATTATGTTGGTTAGGCAGCCTTTAGGGCCAGTTTAAATTAAGTTCTGGTGAAGGTCAGGTCAAATTAGGTCAAATTTCGAATTTCCTTCTAATAAATTTCGAATTTGTTAGTTTTGCATAAAATGGGTATTGATTCGATACAGCTCGTCACGGGGAGTCTAATAGTGGTCTTTGTTTCGCGCTACGTCGTATATATGTAATTGCTAAAAATGGAGTTTGAAAATTTGACGTCATCAATGTTGAACAGTTTTTTCGCTATACCTTGGCCAAAAAGAGTTATCGATCTCAAATTTGGTATTTAGATAGAAAACGGTAGGGACTAATATATAGTTATTCCGTTTTATCGAAATCGGAAAAACTTGGATTTTTTGTTTGCTATATAAAAAAAAACTTCGAAAATCAGAGATGACAGTTTTAAAGCCGTGCTAATTCTACACCTTTTATGTCAGGAATATTTTCCTGTACCTACCTATCTTCAAAGCTGCAGGCCTGACAGCTCTTCCCGCTAAACCTTTTTGGGGGGCCGAAAATGGCAGAACATGACGTCATTCTGACGTCATTTGTGGCCAACCTATCAAAGCCCTTGGAATACTTTTTTGGTCACAGTGTAAAAATGATACCCAGAAGAGTCCTAAAAGTTTTAAGTTTGGTGATGATACCTGCAGTCGTTTAATTACGAGCGAGCGAGCGCAGCGAGCGAAGCGAAGTCTTTTCAATATAACGGAAAAATCTCAGTATGAGCGGCCCGGCCCGGCCCGGCCCGGCCCGCCCTGTAACGCTTTTGAGAGGCTTATATCTCAGCAACCGCTGGACCGATTGGCCTGCGGTCTTTTTTGCTGGGTATGCCCCATCCCTTCTACCCCGTAATTGACTACTTTTTATACATCTCAGTGACCGCCGTGGCACGTGCCACGTGAAAAGTCAAGTGTGTTCAAGCAGTTTTGCAAAAGTAATGATTTTGAGAGGCCCATATCTCAGCAGCGGCTTGAGCGATTGTCTTGCGGTCATTTAGGGTAGCTGCATCCCTTCTACCAAAGGTCGGATACTCTTCATCTATGTGAGTGACCCCCACTGCACGTGCAAAATACAACAATAAGAGGTGCCAAATTTGTTCCCATTTCAGTAACTCGGTAATTACTGGGGCGATTTCGCTGAAACTTGGCATACAGGTAGGCACCCACCAGGCAATGCATTCCCATGTGTTGCGGTTAGGGTGCTACTGCACGTGCTCACGTGCAGGGGGCGTTTCCAGATCTCGAGAACGGCTGGGCCGATTGCGCTCAAATTTGGTACACGGTTGGGGACCGGTTAGTAGGGTGCCGTGCAAAAGTCATTTTGGACCCCGTTTGCACGTGCGCACGTGCAGAATGCCGCTTCCAGATCTCAGGAACGGCTGGGCCGATTGCGTTCAAATTTGCTACACCGCTAGCGACCGGTTAGAAGGGTGCTTTGCATGCAAGCCCGTTGGAAGCAAGATTACTTTACTACTCTTACTTTGGAAGTACCCTCTCGCCCTTCTGCACGTGCAGGGCTCAATATCTCGCTCGCTCGTTCTTCGCCCAAAAGGCGTTTTACTGGTAGATATATCTACGAAAAAAAGACAGGGGGGGGGGGCGTTTCAGCCTTCCTGAGTTTCCCCTCCCCATGGGGCGCGGGATAAGAGAGGGAGCAGACGCCAGCCTGGGTTTAGCTATTCGCATAGAATTGAAAAGAATTGCAAGAATAATGGAACCAATGTACCTAAGACATTCCAGGATTACGCTCTAAAGTCTAAATGGCTAAATGCGTGGCGTGAAACAGCTAAAACAGCTTGCCGTCTTGCCATAAGCAAGGCAGACAAAACGGTTTTCTACATATGGCATGTTCCCGATTGGCCAGCACCTCCATCCATCGACCTCCGGGTGATCGATATATTAGCGCAATGGCCTGAATTGGTTCATTGTTGCCATTGTCGCCAATGGTTTACAAAGGAAGCGTTGCCAAGGCGACGGGAATAAACAAACCGCTCGTGGCGATAAGCTTGGCGATAACGATAGGTGAGTACCTATATATCTACATCCAAGGCTCTATATCTATAGAAATTTTGGGTAAACACGCAAAGGCAGTGTGATACGATCGTGATATCATCGACAAAGATGTTTTTACATGTTTTTAGAGTTTGTTTTCGACCGTCTAAACCAACCCATTAGACCATGTTGCGACACAGTGAAAGAAACGTTAAAAACAGCGGTAAAGATGATAATAAAGTGCTTCGGCCGTTTTCAGGTCAGATTAGTGGTCAGACTCAGGTCATCAAAGGTCATAAAGTTCATGTTTCGGATTTAGACGTTCTTTTACAAATTACCTTATATTTAATTCGTGCCGTAAAACACTAAAATGCGTATTACTCCACGGTTTTCATCTCGAGGGGTCATGGTCAAACCGTTTACCTTCATTCCGTCAGTCAAGTCTTGGATAAACTAGCGGAAGCGTTGTTTTATAAAGACCTATCAAATGCTTCTCGCAACGTTGTTCCTACTCCTAGGATATCGTGCACTTGCAGTCGTCGGCTTTTTCGTCAATAACACGAAAATTGGGCCCAAATGGAGCTAGCGAATCACGGTCAGGGCGCCAATAAACTCAGACTGATTTTTCGCATTGAATTGCATCCTATGTGACCTCCCTTGACCACGTTCCTGATATAGACCTGAGGTCGACACTAGAGATGTCAATCGGATACCAACTTCTTGGTATACCGATACCAAACCGATACCAACTTGGTATTTGGTATTTCAATCCTAATGTGTTTGGTATTTTGTTGGTATCATGAACCCTTACTAATGTATAAGAAACTAAGAAATTGGTAAACAGTTGGTATTTCCCTCATCTTTCAAAGATGGTTCGGTTTCGGTATTTCCCCACGGTTTTGGTTGGTATTTGGTTTGGTATCGGTATTCCGGTATTCTGTAATTGACATCACTAGTCGACACCATAGATGATTTTTGTAACATAAGAATATATTCGACGCGGATAAGGCTGAGCATAAGAAACACGATGGTGCCAGAAGTATCTAATATTTCTACCAAAGTATTTTTACGAAGTTCTTTACCAATAGCAGGGTGCCCGCCTTTGGTTCTTAAACCTGATCTCATAGGTCACCAGCTGACAATTGACATATCACCTGGGATAGCTGCGTCTCGCAACAGCGCGCCCCCTCGTTTTCCTTTAATTTATTACCCCCGACGCTCAACTCACCAATTAGATGCAAAAAAAGTACAGCAGGATCATTCACAGCTCCCGGAAGGATCTTACGTGGAAAAGGCGCTCAAATGATCGCAGGAGCAAGGAGGTTTGTTTGTTTGTTTTGCTGTTTTGTTGGGTTAGGCCCTTTCGGTCTGACGAGACTATTGCAAAGCTGGAAGGATGATAGAAATTAGGTGTGGAGATATTGGTCTGAGCGGGCACTCTGGTGTGTCGTCAGGGCTGAGCCCGTCCAGAGGACAGGCCACCCAGCCCCTTGACACTCACTGCACCCGGCTGCGGGCGTGCTCCTAAGGGAGCTACCTGCATCTGCATGGAATAAAGCTGCCCGTCCAGCCCGGAGGATGGGGTTGAGGCGTGGAGGAGAAGGATTTAACTATCCTGAGGATGGAAACGACGAAACGGTTGAGGAGGAATAATGAAGGGGGTATACGCTCCCTAATGAACTGGCCACGCCGGGTGTTCTTAGATGGAGCTAGGTGACAGCCCGCCCAGGGTATCGGGATCAAGTATTAGGACGGGATGGTTCTGAAGACAGAGATGACAGACTGCATCAGCCACGACGGATTCACTAATACTTCATTTTTATGTCATATTCATCAGCACAAACATAACATAACACACCGTGATCATTTTTACACTGCACCGACACGTCTGACGGTATAGCTTCGCCGTCAGTTGGGTGGTGATAAGCAGGTGGCGCTGGACACAACTGGCCACAGATGTCGCCACCACAGCGGTATACACCTGAGCTGAATTTCGTTCACGAATGTCAATGTATGTAGTCCACTACAGATAACAGAATGATGTTCCATTCTTCAGAATCCATCAGTTGACCGGAGCGCTAAGCTGTGCCGTTTATCACGCAATTAAGCGTGTCGATTGTGAGCATTGGGACAAAGCTATAATTTGTGAACTCAGCCCGTGTGATGCGGCACAGCCTACCACTCCAGGCAAATAATTGCCCATGTGAAAAGTGGAACATCATTCTGTAGTCGACTATTATACGTACTTACATACCTACATAGTACATAGTGCATGTATATACAACGAATACTTTCCTTTCATCCTTTTTTCCATGCCTTCCTCTGTAAGTTTCTCGTTCTTCTTCGTCTTCCTTTCCGCTCTTGGTCTTTTTTTGCCCCTTTCTCCTTCTCATTTGCCCCTCTTCATTTATCACTCTGCTTTTCTGTTTTCTCCCAGCTCTCTCTCTCTCTCTCTCTCTCTCTCTCTCTCTCTCTCTCTCTCTCTCTCTCTCTCTCTCTCTCTCTCTCTCTCTCTCTCTCTCTTCGCCTTTTCCTCTCGTCCCTCATTATTTGGTTTGTCGCTCATCGAGAACATGCATGAGAACAGAGGGTAAAGAGCCAACTCATTTTAGCGACTGCTCGTCCTTTCTTTAGCTTTAGTTTCAGCTCGATCACTGTTGACTGAAGGAGGACAATCTGGGGGCATCCTCCCCCTATAAGACCAAGGAATGGCAGCGCCTTTACGTTGTAAACGTTTGTCTATTTGAAATACGATACTGGATACATGGGTTAGAAATTATAATAATGTCTACGTTTCCGTTGTCCCCCTTCTCGTAATGCCGCCCTGAGCAATTGTGTTCATGTCTATATTTCTTTCACATTGCCTGCAATAAATTTGGTTATACTTACCTCCAGTAAAGTAGCTTCCTAAAATGTTGGGCGTTAGGATAGGTGTTACGTTATAGGTCGAGTTTGTTAAGGTTATATGTAGGGCTGGGTTGGTGTGGTCACTTGGTTGGGTTCTAGCGTGTTATATCATATGTAGTATGTACATATTTGTAATAAGGTGGCGAAGTACTAAAATGAGCAGCATGATTGAATATCGTTGAAGAATAACCGTATGCTATCTTTTAACAATCCAAAATGAGCCTAAAATGAATGAATATTGAATATATTTCGGAAACATTCCTTCTTCAGTTCAAAAGCTAACAAAAGCAAAGTTAACTTCAGTGGTATAGTTTAACTTTTGAACAGAAGAAGGAACGTTGCCGAAATATATTCCATATTCGTTCATTTTAGGCTAATTTTGGATTGTTAAAAGGTAGTGAGCATACGGTTATTCTTCTACGATAGTACATATTTGTTGAAAAAGTGTTATTTCATCTCCTCGGGCGGAAAGATTATGAATCCTTTTTCCGTCACAGACTTGTCGTTTCCGTTTTGAAGAGAAACATAATTACTTGATTTATATGTAGGTAATGATTATCTGACCTAGCTGCGGCATTTTACACTGATCACTTCGTAGTTCAAATATTTGCATTTTCCGTGACGGTTCCTACTTTTCATAAACTAATAAGTTCCTGGGGCCATTGAGCGTCTTATCAAAGTAGCAATGCCCATATTTGGATTGACGTCGATTGACGTGTTGTGGGCGTGCCTTCTTTATGGTCGACGCGACGATAACGTTTAGCTGTAGTTTTTGCTCAGAAACATATGTTAGTAACAGGAAATGGAAATTATCTTATCTATAAATACCCAAGACAAAGGTCCTATTAGGAAGGGATTTTACTCTTGTTCCCCACGGCTAATTGGCCTATCTATTTGCCTAATTAAAGTCATATCTGCCATGCTTCCATGATTTAACTTGCGCTCCCCTCCTGACTTGTATACAGTTCAATGATAAATGCTACCACTGACAACACCTTTCTACGCTTCCCCGTAAATCCCAGCCACTGAAACACTTCATTGATCATTGTGCCAATAAACCGTCCAAAGATGTACCATTCATCAGGACTCTGTCGCTGTTTTCCCGTGATTCCCTCACCACAACACGACTCAAACGATCACGACTAGCAAATTAAAAATATTTTACCCGAGCTTGTCTCACTATCGACCTACCAGCTGGGCTCCGAACTGCCCTTGATTGACCTCTGGGGCGGTGTTGGAAGTTCGGCGAACCTCCCAGCAGGGCGCGGGGCACCTCTGTTCTGTCTGCCCGGTGAATCAGGCTAGATCCGTGACAGGGGGCAGAGGTCATCGGAGCCGTGCTCCAAAGAGCTGCACGAGCGCTGGGGTCACGGAGGGGTCAGCCCACCCCCGCTTCTTCGTGATGCCTTACAAGAAGCGACAGGGAGGTGATGGAAGTGGGAAAGGCAGGAAAGCCCCGTTCTTCATTGTGGATGAAACTTCCAAGAACACGCAGGCGAGTTTGCGTAACGCAACGATAGCAAAAGATTAACGCATTGTCGGTCGCGTCGTCACTTTGTTGCACTGGTTCAGTTCCGGTCGTAGGTATGTCAATTTCTTTTTTGCTTGCTTGAGTTTGCACTTTTGGACTAGATTCTAATATGTGAATTCAGGGCCATAGAGTGAAATGATAAAGGGATATTGAGAGGAGAGACTCCTGTCCAACTGATGCTGTTCGCTGTGCTAACTGCTATGAATTTCGTATTGATCCTTCTTTCTTGTTAGCTTTTTACGTTGTCTTTGTGCTCCGGCCTTCGAAGTCATTCCTTTCAGTCTTCACTTCACATATGAGATTCGTCGAATATTCATTGAGACAGCGTTGATTATCAAATAATTACTTACCGGGGACCATAACCGTTTGTGGTTACATGGATGCAGCGCCAAGAGGTAAGGGAAGACGGAGCATAACGTTAGAAGAAAATGAATATGACGGGGCTGGATCACGAGAAAGAAGGCCCGGAACGGAAGGATGGTGGATGATGAAAACAGACGGGAATGAGTTACCTACACGTGAAATATTGAAATGAAAAGGAAGACATTAGACAAATGTCCATTGACATCAAGAAAGTTTATGTTGAGACGCGTGTTTCAGAGAAACACATTATCGCTAGCTAGCGATGTCATTAGACAGTCATAAATGTCGCTTGAATTTAGCTGTTTCAAATTAACTAACCTTACATTCAGTAAGCACTAAATGAATTTAAAACTTCGAATAGGGCCGTGATTGGACGGTCGACAGCCCCGCCATTGACGTCACGCCAGTGTGAAGCTCATCGACCAGTGATGCATCGGAACATCCTGCATGACTCCTCCGTTCTTCTGCGTGTTTTGATTTCATACGTATAAACCAGAACCAGACTGTATCGCCCACTTGTCATGTGAATATACACTAAGGATGCGGTTAATTACTTGCCGTTTCCCTCTTGGTTTCCCGGTTTCAGTCGAGTTTTCAAATGGAACCACAGCATGCTTACACGGAACACCTGTTGAATATGTTCGGAAATATTTGCTGTTTCTGGTCATTGTGACGGAGCAAGTATGTAGTATTCGTGACGAGCCAGAAACAAGTACGAAGTGCATGATCCGGTTCACGAACGGGCATTTCCTTAGCGCAATCACATTCTACTTCAAGTTTATTTTTATGGTCGGATACATTCTACCGACAACTTATCAAACGAATGCCTGCGGTACCTAGTACCTATCTCCCCTCTCCCGACACACACAATCTTTTTGCTAAAAGTGGCGAACTCCAAGCATGAATTAATCCAATCCACAACCGGTAGATACGAAAGAAAACATTTTGAACCTGGCATTGCATACGCCCCGGAAAATAATGCATGTAACTCGAACGTTTGCATTCATATAAGCAGATGTGTTCCTTTTCCTTCTTGAATCCTATGGACATGAAGCACACCTGCACAGTGCACAGCCTCGCATGGTTGACATTCACAGTTCATTCAACAAATAACTTATCATATTCTGGGCTCCCGATTCGCTCATATGGTCGCTGCGTTTGACTTTGCCGAATGGGCTGACTGTAGCCTGCTCTCTGCCGAGTGGTTCGGGGCACGACTGCTAAAGAACGCCCACCATTTGTGACATCTTATATTGGCTCCTAAGCCGTAGCAAAGTCTATAGAGTGCCTCAGTGACTTCCCCATGCCTTCCCCAATCGTCTGACTCAGACCGTCGTCAATCGGTTTCGATTCGTTTCAAATCGCCGCTCCGAGGTATGACTTCAGTCACAGTTGAAAGGAATTGGTCGGTTGTCGTGAATTGTTTGTGACGGGTTAGTTGCGCCACAGTAGCAAACGTGGTGGAAAACAGGATTGAGGCAATTAATAATGCCGATGTCCCACACTTGCAGTCCGAAGAAGTGTAAAAACAATGTCATTTTCTTATTTTGTTGCCACGAATTTTACCACCTGCAACGTTGCTTCATTGTCAATTTATATCTAAGCACAGCAGACAGGTGTCGCCGAACGATATAAGAGCCTGAAACGGAGCCGTTCAAGCAGCAGTGACAGAAAAATTGCCGTCATGTTCGGCCTGAAGTTGTTGTTTTGTCTTCTGGTACAGGGCCTTGCCCCATCCTCTTCGGTGAAAGGTACGATAGCAGGACTTCATTGGTTGTCAGTTGTTACATTACTGCCTCAATATATCATGTCAATTGATAATCTAACTCAACTTTCACGATTCAGAAGCTGTCTTTCTCGTAGGCTAGATTCAACTGTGAATAAAAACACAACGGGATTTCAAGGCAAATTCCGAACAAAACTCAGCTTTTATGTTATGCTGCTTGAAGCTGTTGCTCCCTTAGTTGCACTGATCATTTGGCGCCCATCGTGACATTGTCGGTCGCCATGTTCCGTTCCGTTCCAGCTGGTCCCGTGGAGGTAACTCTCGACTCGCACCCACTAGAGGTCCGCGGCTCGTACAACCGTCCCGTGCTGGGGTGCAGTAGCGATGTCCAGACACTGGAGCCGGGCGCCTACATCATCCACTCGCCCAACTTCGACCGGCACAACCCGCAAAACTACACCAACGACTACACCTGCACCTACCAGCTACGATTAAAATACCACGGGATTCTCCGTTTCGACTGTTTCGACTTTCAGCTTGAAGACAGCGATGGGTGCTCCAAAGATCGCCTGAAGGTGACCTACGGAAGCCAGGCGCTGATTTCCTGCGGAAGAAACACACCGCGCACCCTGTACGGCGAATCCCTCGACATTGACTTCACCACCGACTCCAGTGGCACCGACACGGGTTTCCTCTGCACCGTCATGTCCAAGGTATCGACGTCCAGTAGTGGTCTGTTCTGCGGAAGGGGTTTCCTCGAACCGGGAACCTACTCCCTCGTCAGCCTGTTCTATCCAGACAACTACGGGACGAGCCTGTATTGCCGCTGGGATCTGAGCGCGAACCTTCTCACTTATTCTATGGAGTTCAGCTGTAGGGATTTTGATATGGTGTCCTGGGATGGATCTTGTGAGTGGGATTATTTGGAGGTCAACGGGAAAAAGTACTGCAACGGTAACCCACCGCCAGGGGAAGATAGCCCGCTGCCGGTGGGACAGCACGTGGAAGTGGTGTATGAGACCCCCGATTTGCCCGACAAGACCCGCAAAGGTTTCAACTGCACTGTGGTTGTTAAATAAACATCATCCATTGAACCGTAACGCGAAGAAGTGTTGAAAACGCAACGCTGTCTGGCTTTTCCCACAGTATGCATGCACATTGCACAATCGGTGGGTTTGCCTTCGGTGATATACTGAATTCTGTTTTTTTTTTTCGATTTCCGATTGAGGCTGGTGAATATCGTGCGCGTGACTTGGCGATTCGGACATTCGGTTTGTCTACGAACGTCGAACGCCATCTAAGTTCTAACTGGCTGGTTTGATAAAGGGAGAATATGACCCAAAAAATAATTTATGAAACCTTTTTTGTATGTCATGTGAAACACATTTGGGAGGTAAAAATTCAATAAACTACATAAATTATCGATCGATAAAATAATGTTGAACTTCGTAATTCCTATTAACTAAAATTATGTAATGCCTCATTAGTAGGTAACGGCAATTTCGCGCGTATTGAAAAACAAGGCTGTATAAATTTGATTTATTTATAATCATCAAACCAAACTTAAATTTGTGTACATAAATTGCAATCTTTCACAAGGTGGCGTTAGCCTCCAAATTTGCAAAAGAATTTAACCCTCACCCGCATGGGAGGGGGGGGGGGGTCGAACGGACCCCATCCCGCAGTTTTTCGCAAATAACTCGCGTAAAAAGCAGCCGATCGCGACGAAACTTCCAGAACTTTCGAGTTATTTGTTTTACACCAACCCTAGAAATTTCATGACCCTGACCGACCTGTGAGTTGTGACTTAAACTTTGGCGTCTTTCAGAAGAGCCCAGGAAGGGGCCAGGGGTCGAGGCCAGCCAATGCCAAAACACCGAACTGTAGCTCCGCCCGGACTCACTTAGCAACCTTAACGCTAATGGTCATTTCACGATGGAACCGTGCAAATTATATTAGCGGGAAGTTGCGCCCTAGTCACCTCCGGGTGCGTATTATTTAGGCCAGGGTTCATAATGTCCAGGGCACAATGTGTCCAGTGCTCGAATTGGCCAGTGCCTTGAATTGGCCAGTGTTCACATTGTCCAGGGATTACATGGTCCAAAAGTGGCCAACTGGCTGCAGATAGGGTAAATTCAAAGAGGCCAGGGTTCATAATGTCCAGGGCACGATGTGTCTAGTGTTCAAAATGGCCAGGGTTCATAATGTCCAGGGCACGATGTGTCCAGTGTTCGAAATGGCCAGGGTTCATAATGTCCAGGGCACGATGTGTCCAGTGTTCAAAATGGCCAGTGCCTTGAATGGGCCCGAGTTCATAGTGTCCAGGGATTACATAGTCAACCCAACCCAACCAAACCTAACCTAACCTAACCTAACCTAACCTAACCTAACCTAACCTAACCTAACCTAACCTAACCTAACCTAACCTAACCTAACCTAACCTAAGGTAATGATGTTTGCCTACCAGGGATAAGGAAATAGTTTCTCGCATGAATAGATTGCAAGCAATAGTAAATCAAATATTTTTAGGTTAAGTGGTTATGCATCAGGCTTCAGGCCTTCGGCCTGAAGCCAGATACATAACCACTTAACCTAAAAATATTTGATTTACTATTGCCTGTAATCTCTCCTAAGGCATTGCCTTCGGCACTGCACTGCTTTGCATTGAGCTGATTCCGTGTTTTTTACATAATGACGTCACTTTCAGTGACTAGGTAATCCCTGGACATTATGAACTCTGGCCCATTCAAGGCACTGGCCATTTTGAACACTGGACACATCGTGCCCTGGACATTATGAACCCTGGCCATTTCGAATACTGGACACATCGTGCCCTGGACATTATGAACCCTGGCCATTTTGAACACTGGACACATCGTGCCCTGGACATTATGAACTCTGGCCTCTTTGAATATACCCTATCTGCAGCCAGTTGGCCACATTTGGACCATGCAATCCCTGGACATTATGAACTCTGGCCCATTCAAGGCACTGGCCATTTTGACACTGGGCATAGCGTACCCTGGACATTATGAACCCTGGCCAGAATGAATGCTCCCCGTCACCTCCCACCTCCGCCAGCGCCAGGTCGTACCTCAACACGGAACAGGCCGTGCCACCTAGGTGCGCCGGGGAGAACTACAGATCGCATAGTGCCACCAGATGTCGCGCAAACACGACAGGCGCAGATAAATAGATTTTAGATCGTGGGTGATATATTGTAACAGCGTTGATTTCTACCATGCATGTATTTTAGCAACTAACAGCATGGGCGCAGGCACTGGAACCACAACGGCTACCACAACTGCACGTAAGTATGTATTTCTCGAGACCATGTTTGGGCCAGAGTCGCGATTCAACGCATGTCGGCTCGCATTAGCCGCGCATTTGCGGTCTTTTCGTGGTTTCAAGCTTTCAAACATGTGATATGATGCTGGTGCTATGAATAAGGCTGGGTGTCAAGGTCACCTGAAGGTCATGTTAACCCGCGCCCTGCTGGGGGGGGGGTGTTTGAACACCCCCCCCCCCCTTGTGGTTTTTCGCGAATATCTCAAAAACGGCGGCGCGGAGCGCCGCCGTTTTTGGTACACCTTATCATACATCAATTCTACACATTTTGTGAAAATTTCAGACCAAGGTCATTCAAGGTCAGGTCACCAGGTCACTTGAAGTGACATCACCTCATAAAAAGTTTCAATGTCTGTCATAGCTACACCGAGTGACCGATCGCTTTGAAACTTTCAGCGATTGCTAAGAGCAATAGCATGTACAAAATGTATATCTCAGAATTTTGATATCGATGACCTAAGGTCAGGTCAATTTTGCGACCTCCCCATTATAAGTCAATGGGAGAAAATTGAAATGCGCCTCCTTTGGACGAAAGACATTATAAACACTCCCAAACACTGAATTACAAGTGGTTTAGACACACTGAACATGAAAACGGTGTCCGTGACCCCTGTTTATGCCCTGAGGTCATCTTAGGTCACGAATGGTATCTAACAGTTTTTCGCAAATAACTTTTGATAGAGGCATGCTAGAGCGATGAAAACGCCTTAGATGTGTTCAGCTCGACAATACGGATCGACTGATATGCAACATGACCTTTTCCGGTCAGGTCATGACCTTGACCTGAGGTCAAATTTTCAAGTTGACCTTTCAAGGTCAAGTTATAGTTCATTCGATGCGTCTTGACGAGAGGAACACGATGCCGGTAAAAGTAAGCTCGTACAATGCTTGGGTCAAAAGTTATTGCAGAAAAACTGTTTCCGAAAAAATCGTCTATTTTTGCAGTTTTTGCCCCCTGCAGGCAAAACCGTTGACGCTAGGTCAAATCTGAGAGTATTACTCAGAAAGGGCGTTAATAGGGCTATCGAATGCGCTTTTCCGCGGCGCTGTAGCTCTATTGGTTCCCGAGTTATGCGTTGGCTTCTTGGAAATTTTCGACATTCGACCTGGAAATCGGCGAAATTTTGCCTTCAATGACCTCTGGTGACCTGACCTTTGACCTGACCAAAAAATTGACCGAAGTGATTTCCTCATTATTTTTGACGCTCTTTCGAACGCCGCCTTCCGCGTATCGCTACGTGGTCCAGGAGCCGAGTTAGAAGGGGGGGGTGTTCAAACACCCCCCCCCCCCCAGCAGGGCGTGGAAATCCAGGACCCCCAGCCGGGCGCGGGTTAATGACCTCAGTTCACTTTTTAGTGTTTTATACGTTTCTAGGCTAGTTTTTTTTTAGCTGAATTCGAATTCAGCAACCATATGAACATTTACGAAGTAGTTTTGGTGCCTTCGTAGCATGTTACGAAGCTGTCAGAGACGGTTGACACCTGCTACGAATACCCGACAGGACCCCTACTGGTTGACCTTTTATTTCCTGACCTGACCCGAGCTCGCCTAAATTCATGAAGACATCATCGGTGATCAAAACTAACATGATATTCGTGATCAGCACCCGCCCGAAACCCCCATAGAAGCCACAATTCACGCGACATTCCAACAGGTCCCGATTCTCCCGAATTTTGGGTCATTGAGTATTGACCTGACCTGGAAGGTCAACCGATGGCCTAGGACCTTAAAATTGAGTATCATCGGCTTCCTCTCGGCTCGGGCAACACGCTCGTTCTTTTCTCCGCGAAGCTCTAGCTCGATCAGGGTCCAAACGCGAGGGGGGTCGCATCCCCCACACTTGTGCCGTCGAAGGACGCAAAATGGCCTGTGCCGGCGTGGGTTAAGCTGACGGGGCATCCTGGTAAGAGCTTCGTGCTGACACTGACAGCCCAACCGAACATATGTGCAGTTTTTTTTTTTTTGCATCAGCCGTGCACTCTGACCAGCCGCCAGCTATTGAAGTTTTCGCTTAGAAAGTTTCACTTAAACCGGAGGCTCTTCACCAGAGCGCGGATGATTGGGTTCCAAAGCCACACACTACTCAGATTAATTTTTTTCACCGTGGTTAAAGCAGTCATTCTGCATTACTCAACATCCATATGAGACGACTGGTCTTTGGAGAAAAGAGGTCACGGTTTTTTAAACACCGAGTGAGCACCGGGCCTGCGGTTTAGTGACAGCGCAGTACAAAGTGCGGTTTGGGTATACGGCAGGAGAGGTGAGGTGATCAACCTTTGCATTTGTGGCTATCACTTCTCTCAGTCTGCAATTCTTATACGGCTTTGGTTCTGCACAGCATGTCTAATGAAAATTCGCGAATGAGGTAGTATGTCGATTGAACCTGGGCTTCATCATACCTTATCCCTCAAACCATGATTGCATCTGCTTCGTTCATGCTTTATAAACTCAGGAAAAACAGCCAACTCATGTATTTAACAAGTCAGAAATCATAAAAAACAAATCAGGAAAGGCACGATCAAATAATCAGCAAAAAAGCTGAAACAAAGTGGGATGCAATACGTTTTGATATTAGTTCTGAAGCCGGTGTGAAAAAGACGGCTATAACGACGGCATTTCAACCTATTAACAACCAGGCTCCTTGACCATATTTTGAATCTGAAAGCTGAACTGATTTCTGGAACACGCAAACAGTTCTCAGATTCCTGAGAAAAGGCACAACGGCGTTGACATGATAGATATGGAAGACTG